CCTTGGGTTGGTTTTGGGGCAACTTCTTGTGGCTGGCTGGCTCTTTGCTGTCTTGTTTGGGGATGGTGGGTTCCACATCGATTTGCGGAGGAATGAGTTTGCCCGCGTAATTTCTACGTGGTCGTTTGCAGGGCTCACATTCTGTGTGTGTTTTGTTCGGATTAACTAGGATGACAGATCTTGAGGGGTAGCACAGCCAACCTCTTGGGTTGTCAATCCGGCCCACCTTCTTTCGCATACTAGATATGGCCCAGCGGCCCCAACGATTGGCTCGCGTTTTTTTTGTTTACACCTAAAGCTGGGCATTTGCTTCTTGCTTTGCCCCTTCGTCAGTTTGGTTTCGGCGCGGCGGAAAGGTTGGCCCAGATCGGCACAAGGCAATTCTTCAGCCGCGAGTGAGTTGCAAACGAGCCCGAAGCAAAGAGCAAGCAGCGGTCTTGCAACCGCCGTTCTTTCAGCGTGACTCTCCTTGGCAGCTTTACTGTAGCTTGCAGAGAACAAGCGTGGCGACCGAGGTTGCTGAGCCACGCAAAGTTCGATGGCCATCCAGTGCACAGAGTCAAGGTCCGCTGCCAAACCGAATCTTGCACTTGTTGGGCAGCAACGGTTGAAACCTCAGGCCCCGCGAGGGTTCCAAGTTAAACATTTGTTGCTGGTGACTTCTCCTTCGGCCGGATCGCGCCCGAGACGTGACTCCCATAGAGAGGCTCAAATCTCAAGCCAGCTTCGCCATGCTCTTGAGACGTTGGGATGGACCGGTCCGCTCCAAACTTCCCAACGCAGGTTTCCTCGCCAGTGAGATGGGCAGTTCAAGTCGGGGGCCTGTTGTGTGGCGCTATCCATTTTCTCCAAATGTTCCTGGGTGCCCTTTCCTTCATTTGGCCCTGTCCTCGCGACAAAATGATGCCTTGTCTCGCCAAAAGCCTTGCGAAACATCTGGAAAGCCTTTAGTTCAGTTCCCCTTAGTGGACCCCGGATTTTTTTAATCCCAGGTTATGAATCTGGGGGCGTTCCCCTCTGGTCTGGTTCCCCCCATTTTAGCCCCCGGTCAGGCGGGCAGCTGGATCCAGGCCGGGGACCTGGTGGATGGCCCGGAGCCCGAAACTTGCCACCGGAATCCAACCCACCAATGGAACTCCGGGGTGACTCAAATCAGAGCTCGGATGATGTCCAGTCCACTTTGGCATTTTTGGGTGGAATTCCTGTAAAGTTGGAAAACATGAGAATCCACTGGGACAACACGGAAAGGTCGTTCTCGGGTGTGATGTCCACGCACGAAATGGTGTGAACCTTCCTGTGAGTTGCCCCCAGCCTTCAAGCTTGGAATGCTTGCACCCCAACCCAAGCAAAAGCATGCGCCAATGTTCAAGGGCTTAGCTTCTTGCGGAGAAGGAGATACAGATGCCGACATTGCCCCGTTTCCCCATCCACACACTTTTCCCATTGCACATGTCTGCGAATCTTCAGTTTACCAGACAGGTTTCCCCACTTCTGGGAACCCGAGGGATGACCATGGAGGCAACGGGGCATGTTTGAAGCCCGGGCGCCCGCTGGCTTACTTGAGGCTCCGGCAAGCACTCGGAGGCTGCTGCTGGAGGCGCCCTAAGGCCGGGCTGCCCATAGATCGATTCCACACTCAAAGGGGGCCCCCTGATGAGCACTGTCCTTTGGATGAACAAGGCTGGCATGATCTGGAGCGGCCTTGCAAAGGATGGCTCGCGACGAAGAAATTCCTCTATCCCTTGTCCGTGTCAGGAGTTATTCTATTGCACCCAGATGTATGGGCGCGTCCCAAAATTATGTGCCGGAAATGTGGCAGCTTTCCTTCTGGCTCCCTTAAGAATAGGTTTCTTCCGTTCCGTTCCCTTTGTGGGGTCCAACCCCATTTAGCAAGGCCGCACATGCGCTCGCCTAACCTTCATCCGGTCACTGGCTACATGATCTACCAAGTTTCTGTTCAGAGGTGGCTTTATAAAAACGAAGAAACACGTCTAAAAACAAGAGCGACCGGGCCAGGCCAAATTAAAAGTCGCTCTGAACTCCAGAGATTGGGGTCGGCCCAATGCTGAAAGCAGGATGCAAGGAGAGATGAGAGCCGTTTGCTCTCGCAAAGTATGGAACGTGACAGCCATGTGAGCCTTTTTTTGCCATGCATTCGTTTAAGAGGGGGGATGTCTTTTTGTTGCTGAGTAAGCCCTGCGTAGCTAGCGAAGAACTACGTGGGCAGTCTGCGCAGGCTCGAGAAAATCCTGCGGCAGCTTCACGTAGGCATGTTAGCCTGGGTCGCCGAAAAATCCAGCCCGACGCGCCGGAGCAGAAGAAAGGGCTGCGCAATGCTGTTGTCAGTTCTCTGCAAGTGTTTGCGGACGCCTCTCCATGATTTGACGCACCGCTCAGGCATCGCGTAGGCATGGCTTAGTCCTAGCCCGACGCACCCAACCAAAACTCCAATACTCGATTGTTTAGATTGCAATATGATTGAAAAACTGTGATTGACTGACTTTTGCGAAAGAAAAGAAAACGCGTTCAAAACGGAACGCTGCTCTGGCAGCAGAGCCAAAGCAGTACTCTCGGTGTTCCCAAACATGCTGGACCCTGCTGCCAGATCCTTTTTGCGCCGCTTTGGAAAATGGTGCCCGTTTTCGGTGTCCCCCTGACGTCGCGTGATGCGTGCTCCTGTTGCTCTTCCGTGTGGGCGTGATAGAACCTTTGTGTCAAGGGCGTGTGGTGTTCTAATCGATTGTCGCTGGCACTCAAACCAACTCTGGATTTCTGCTGTTGGAAAGTATTCAGTCCGTCGTAGTCCGTCAACCACGTCCGCAAAGATAACAAAAATGGGTATGTTTCAGGACTTTGGACATGCTAGCCTTTGGAATTTGCGAATACTGGAACAGACCAGGGGGCTCGCGTTCCTCGCTTGCCACATGTCCCGCTTGCCTCGGTCCAAGGCACGAATCCTTCACAGTTCCTCACGACCGTCCTGGCCTGGTGGGCATGTGCTGCCACGGCAAGGCGCGGTTCCTATACGCCCCGGGTTTCATTTGCAAAAAATGGATGGCACGACAAACGAGCTGGACGTCCTTCTTTGCGCTTCGTTATTGGGGTGGAGTTTCGCATAGACCAGACCAGTAGTTTTTGGCAGTAGTGTTTTTTTTTTCTGCTTAGTCCGCAAGTGATTTTCACGCATTTTCGTCGCCGCAGAGGACACCATCGGATCCCAGTTCTACATCACGCTGCGTGAGCTTCCCTTCTTGGATGGGAAGCCGGCTGGCTTAGTCGAACGGATGGCACGACCGCTTTTACTGCGCAGGGCTTTTTACGTTGCACGGGCCTCTATCAAAAGCAACGCAATGGTTGTAGCTGACTTGAATATCTGCAAGACGGGAATCAGGAAACCCTTTTGCTTTGGCAATGTTGCCGGCCGAGCTGTCTCTTGCGGCTGAGCTGACTGAGGTTTTGCGTCATCGGCAGGGTGATCAGCGGAATGTGGCTGCCTTGGCATTTTGAAGCTCGCGTTGTCAGCCTTGAGAAGATGCCGATCCAGCACGTTTGCAGCGAGACGGGCTGAGTTGTGTAGCGTTTGAGACGTGGTACTGTAGGTTTCCTCGGCCTTGTTTAGAAACAAATATAGTTGTGTCAGATCAGGAACGTCCTCCGAGCTCAGGCGGACCATCATCCGGGTCGGCAAGATGGCGACAAAGAACGAGCGTCCTGCGGAGGAGCCATTCACATTCGAGCCAAGATGGTGAAGAGCACGTGGAGTTTACAAAATGTGCATCACGGTCTTCTATGAGTGCATCGGAAGGCAACACCGACCCCTTCCAACACTTTGACAGCCGGCGCCGCACCTGCCCATGTTTCGCCAGAAGTTGTTCCCCTGAAGTGGCGCATACTGTTCTGAGGGAAATGTCCTGCAAAGCATGCACGAGTGAAATTTGCTCCACGAAGTTCCTCTTCAAATGAGCATTTGAAGGGTTCTGTCGTTGTCATCCAACCCTGCCGCAGCCCGGGACACCCTAAACCTCCATGTCGGCTGATTGGGGACTCCTCCTTTCCAACGCCCTTTCGTTAGGACGTCAAGATCTTCGCCGAGCCGTCTATGACTTTGCCCGCAGGTGCCAATGCCCACAGCGCAGGTTTCTTGAAATCGTCCGCAAGCGGTTCATGGCGGGCTTTATTGTATAATTGTTGGGCCGTTGGGTGTCTTCCGCTTCAGGCATGATGAAAACTAAGTGTTTGCAAATGGATAGTTCCATGACTAAAAAATATAGTCACGTTCTTGTGCCGAACGGGTTGATTACAGATGTCGGCCCAAAATCCAGAAGGATTGGTTCCTTGACACCAGCAACCTAAAGCCCAAGCCGCATTGATTCAAGTCTGCGCGTGACAGAGCCTCTTGGGTGAGAATGGACATAAGGAAGCTTGTTTTCACCATCAACGTCTGCACAGTCCTGTCCTCCGCAGAGGTACACCTGCGCCAGAATCGCCGCGAGGCTGAAGGCTTGGGCATGCGTCCTGAAAGCGACACTCGGAATGTCGCAGCCGCGCTCAGGGTCATGCCGGGTGTCACCCACGGCCTTTTCGTTGGGACCTTAGAAAGCCCGCTCGTGAGACACTTTTCGATTCAGAAGTAGCCCTGCAAAGCAAACAGGTTTGCAAGGTGCAAGACCACACGACGGAATACGAATGCCAGATGACAGTAATGCACGCGTATTTAATGATGTTCCTGTTGTTGCAATTGTTGCCGGAAGCTGTTGCCACTGCTGCTGCTGCTGCTGCCGCCGCCGCCGCTGCTGCTGCTGCTGCTGCTGTGGTTGGTGGCAGTGACATACTCCCCAATGATTAGCGGATTACGGATTGTGCGGTTTGCGGATTAGATTATGCGGCTTGCGGATTGCGGTTATGGGGTGCACGGATTTTCCATGCTTCAACATACGGTGTTGACCCAAAGTTTGAAGCGCGGATTACGGATTAAGCAGATTACCAAACAACACAAGGATGAACTGTGGCTGTGGTGGCTGTGGTTGTGGTTGTGGTTGTGGTTGTGGTCGTCGTCGTCGTCGTCGTCGTCGTCGACGTTGTGGCGCGCCCGTTTGTGGCTTTGTGGGCGCACGCAAACCAAGCAGCTTTTGAACAATGCGCGGAGCAGCTACAGGTGACGAGTTTAAGTGTGCCTGATCCTTTCTGGGCTCTCTGCCGTGAAGGCTTGCGTCAAAACGTCCCCTTGGGGCAAAGCAATCCCAACCATGGATTCAAAAAAAATGACACCGCTGTTGGTGCGTCAGCAAGAGTTGCCCAGCGCTGTCATGTGAGAATGACATGGCCTGCGCGTGTTCTTCTTGGGCCGCCTAGGCACAAATGCGGCGAGAGAGGCTGCTGCCACTGTCTCACCATTGCAGCTCACTGAGCTGAGCAAGAGATGCCGAGCACTCTTCCTTTCACAACTCAACTGCGAGGATCATAGTGAGCAGAACAAGCCTTGATTTGGTGCATGGAGTTTCTGGCCAGCTTGTCTGCCTCTGTCTCTTATGCGTCATCTTAGTCTGTTTGTTAATTTGCTTGTCCATATTTGTGCACATGTTTCATAGTTTGTACTTACCAATATTTTATGATTTTTTGTATTGATTTGAAAATTATTATTATTGTATTCTAGAATTGCTTTAAAACAAAATTATGATTTGAATATTTTATATTTGATTATTTATTTAAAGAATATAATTAATAGGAATAATGAATAGGTTATTATTAATATTATATGTTTATGGAAAGAATATATTATAAATATTTAATATGTATAATAAATTATAAATTATAATTCTGTTTAAAATAAATATTAATATTTTACTTAAAAATACAAAAAACCTAAATATATTGATTGGGGTAAGGGCTGAGTTTCGCTTTCGTTCTTGAATGTAGATCGTATTTCTCGTGTAAAACTAAAAGTATTAATATTTTATTTTTTTTAGAAATTATATTATTATAATTTTCGATTTATAATAATTTATTCTATTATTTTTATATATATATATAATATATATTATTATAATTATGTAGTATTATTAAAAATCACAAAAGAAATGTGGTAAAATGTAAATTTAATATATATTTATTGAAAATAGATTATATTTATTAGTATTTAATGTTGATATAATTGTTTTTTTTTTCTTTTTATTAATAATATATAATTATATTGTTTAATTTTAGTTAATATTTTATATTAATTCTATTTTTTTTCTTCTTTTATGTCTCGCTTCGTGCGTCGGGATTATTCGGGTCTGATTTCCTAGAATTCGTCTTAGGGTATTCCCTATTTTAGTGTGAAATAGATCTAAGGGGATTTGGTTGATGTTGGAAGGGGAGTAACAAATTAAATCTTAGTAGATGAATAAGGATTCTAACCACAAAACTATAATTAGCAAAATGAAAAATATTTCTTAATACTAATTATAGGGAATCAAAGGGAAACCAAGAGCAAGGTTAAAGGAAAATCGAAGGGGAACCCGGTTTTAGGGCCGTATTGTAATTGAATTTCCATTAAGCCGAATTTCTAAGCGATATACTTGAAATCCCAGTCACATTTAATTCTTTTTTAGATTGGAATATATCCCTAGGATTATTCTAGGCACCTTTTACCTTCTCGTTTTTGTTCGAATATGTGCTCATTGGTCTAGGCTAGCTAATGTCTTTTTGTTTGGGGAAATAAAATACATGTTTTTTCTTATCTATTAAAATCTCCCTTTTGTGGTTTTTCATTGGGGACGACCCGATTCTAATTGTCCGGCTAACAATGTTAATAGGGCAATGCGGTTAATGTATCCAGCGAAATCTTTCCTCTGGCTCTTTGGCGAAATCCTGGGATCAAAATTTCACTTCTACACCAGCTCCAGGCCCCTACGCAAGATGTATTAGCTGCTATTGTGGATTTTGCAGGATTTCCTGCACTACCCAAGCCCTACCTTTCCATTTCAAAATGAATAGAATCGTCTTATTTGAAAGATAGGGGTTGTGAGTATATATATACAAGAAGTGTATTGTTGTTGTAGGCACCCGAAAGGTTGAGAAGTTTCGGACGGAATAAGGGAGGGGGGGGGGGAGGGGGGGAGAAATTTGTGCGAGTTTAATTGAATTATATCTTATTATTAGGCTCCTCCCCTCCTTCTCTCTTTCCCTAAGATTTCTAATTCCTTCCTCCCCCCCAAATCCTCCTCCCCTTCTCTAAGATTTCTAATCCCCTAACACTTGAGCACCGTGTTATTTTCTAACGATTGTGTTACCTTAAGCTAAAATTTATTTTTCCTAAGCAATATTTTTTTATATATTCCATTTTGATTTATAATAATTGAAAACGAATCTATATTTAGATAGTTCGAAGGATTCCTCGTTCCAAATAATAAGACTTGGAGAATTTAATAATAGACATTTCGAGGATTCTAATTTTCTGATTCTAGGTTTAGATGTTTCACTATGGATATTTTAAGGGATTGGAAGTCCAATAAAATGTTATAAAATGTAGTGTTTTGTTTTTGTTTTTGTTTTTTTAAAAAATTAATTTAAAGATTATATATTTCCTAAATAATATTTTGCCTCTAGATTCTATATTTTAGGTATTTTAGAATGGAAATGTTAAAGGATTGAACAATTTCTGTAAAACATGGTATTTTCTCGAAAGCATAGCGAAGGGTTTTTCCGTTGGATTCATAGGCATTATCATCATAAGAATTATTGCAAAGAATTATCATCATCAGAATTATTTCGCAGAGTTATTATTATTAGAGTCATTGTAAAGAATTATTATCATCAGAGTCATTGCACAGAGTCAGTATCATCATGAGAATCATTGCACAGAATCATAGTAGAGAGTTATTTGTGAGGAGCAATGCTCGTTAGAGTCACTGGCGAGGAGTAATGCTTATAAGAATTGTTGGCGAGGAGCAATGCTTATGAGAGTTCTAACTCATGACGCGTTTTAAATTATTTTCTTCTCTTCTGGGTAAGGCCGATAGCATTCTACGAAAATCAACCCTCTGCGGAGATTCGTGTGGTCGAGGTTAAAAATCTAAGGATTTTTACGATTTCTGATCGAGCGACCCTTTGCGGAGACTATGTGATCGAGGTAAAAACACTCGAACGATTCTCTATGGAGATTCGTGGTCGAGGTCAAGAAATTGATGATTTTTACGAGGGTTTTTTGCCATTTTGATATTGCAGGATGAACCCTTTATGGGGATCTATTGAGGGTCTTTTTTCGATTCTGAAAATGCTCGTGCGACCTTCTGAGAGTCGTGCGTATCGAAGCGCTCTCGTTGTGGCGCCGTACGAATTTGTTGCTTGCAAGTTGGTTTTTGGAAATTACTATGTAGTCTGCACGTCTGCAGAACTTTTTAATTAGAAACTTAATATAGGAAATATTTCGCGAAAGCTCTAGCAACACTTGTAGAACAACCTTCATAGAGCGTTGCCGCTTGCGCAGAGTAACCTACGCAAATTACATTGCGCAGAACACTTGCATATAACGGTTAGCGTAGGGCAATTTGAGCAGACTAAAAGGCAGGTATTCCATTGGAAGAATTATTATTATGAGAATTTTTGCATAGAATTATTATGATAGCCATTGTATAGGGTTATCGCGTAAAAATCATTGAACGGAATTATTACAAGAGTGATCGTATAGAGTTTTGATGAGGATTATTGTCTAGAATTATCATAAAAAAATATATAGAATTATTATGAGAATTATTGTATAAAAGCATTATGAGAGTTATTGCATAGAGTCATTACAGCCATTGCATAAAATTATTAGACTAAACACGTTCTGTAGGAAGATGTCTAGACTCAGTTAACGATCGATTATCCCTAATAGAAATCCAACTACGAGCTTTATAATCGTAACAATTTTAATATATATATTATTGGAATTGGAATTACCCGATTGCTGGACTAGACTTACCCTCTAATTGATACTCATAAAGGCGTTTAAATTTTATATATTCTAATTACAAAACATGGATACCTTATATTGTTATTTTTTATCATTATTTCTCTATGTTAGGGATTTGGTTTTTTGCGCGCCTGCTGCTTTCCTTAGATATGGTAGCCGTTTCTTAGGCTCCCTATTCGGAGTTAAATCCTAATTCTCCGTTACCCGTCATTGCCACGGTAGGCTAATACCTTACCGTCGGAAGCCAATAGATTAGAAATTTGAAAAAGGCATCGTCGGCGGAGCTATACAAATAATTATTATGAATCATCACATGTCTAGGCAGAGCCTGGATTGGTTTTGTATTTAATAAATATAATATTCTTGCAAAGTCGGGTTTTGCGTAGTTAAATCATGATAGCAATTGTATAGAGTTATTATATACGAGTCATTTAACGCAATCATTACGAGAGTCGTTATATAGAGTTATTATGAGAGTATTGCACCGAATTATTATGAGAATTAGTGCATAGAGTTACTAATTGTATAGAATCCTTATGAGAATTATTATATAGAGTCATTATGATAGTCATTGCATAGAATTACCACACACAAGAGTCATTTAATAGAATTATCATGATAGTCATTACATAGAACCATCATATAAGAGTCATTGAACGGAGTCATTACGAGAGTTATTGCATAGAGTCATCGTGAGGGTTATTGCGCAGAATCATCATGAGAGTCATTGCGTAGAATTATTATGAGAGTTATTATGAGAATCATTTGCGTTGTAATTATTGTTTTGCTCGAGGGCGGTATATGTGTTATATTTGACGTATTGGCAAATTCATATGATGGGGGGTTTGATAGGTGGTAAGATAATAGGAATAAGGTTAGTTGTTATGTATTGCTCATAATTAAATCGAACAAACAATTTGTACGGGAATAATCGCTAGGCTGTATTACTTTCGGGCCAAACATAATCTACATTTCATTGGATATTTATTCCCTTGAAATATTTATATTGAAATACATATAATCTAGAATCTAGAAATTAGAATCCTCGAGCTATCTAATATTGGATTCTCCAAATCGTATAATTCGGAGCCAAGAATCCTCTAACAAATCCAAATATATCTATATTGTGTTTTAAATAGAATTTGAATGTTGAATAAAATTTAGAATAAATATATACTTTAAGAAAATTTATAAAATTTAGAATACATATGTAATTTGTCAAATTTATATATATATTGTTTTTATAAATTTTATAATTAATTAAATTTTAAACAAGAATATATATTTTTCTAAATAAAATAATAATATCTTAATAGAATTTAAATATATATAGATGCAACCACATTTTTAATTAAATTTTAAATATAAAAAATATTATTTAAGAATCCCTTTTCAAACAATAATTTAAATTGGACTATTCTAAAAAGAAACGTAATTTTTGCAAAATATTTTTTAGATAATAATAGGAATAATTTAATCAAACTAATATATAATTAAATGAATAATTAATAATTAATTATCCCCAAATTCCCTAGATATAGTCAATATTTTATATTATTAGATCTAAATTATACTCAAAAATCAAAAAAATCAATATTTTCAACAATACATTTCATATTATTATACTATCTTAGATACAACAAAATACATAATCAATATTATATAACAATTAAATCATCAATATAAACCTAAAATATAAATAAAATAAAAAAAATAAAGAATAAATATTATATATATATTCAATAATTAATAATGATTGTCAATCCGACATCCTAGAATACAATCAATAATTCAACCCAAATCTTCAAATCAAGATGTTCGAAGACACTAACAACAAAATAAAATCGGGAGATAAAATCTCGCCACAACCCAGTACCATTTTAGGCACGGAAATTAAATCCAAAAGACAAAAATACCTCGTAATTCAAAGAATAATATCTAAAACCATCGAAAATCCAATCCATCTTCCTTAAAATATACCTCCAAAATCATCTAAGAGGTGCGACCAAATAATACCTCCCAATATCTTTCATATATCAAATAAGAATTTCTTCTATTTCAAATAACAATCGGATTTTTAAATTGGATCCATATTCCGAAATTTAAAACATATTTTTCATATATCATATAAACAAAACATCGAAAAAAATCATGTTCCCTCGAAATCCAATCCATCTATCTTTTTGCAAATCAAATAATTGTAACCAATATTTTAAATCATATATCATCATCAAAATATCCATAACATCCCAAACATCAATATATATAAAAATTATATCATCCTATAACATTAAAAAAATATATAATACTATACAATCTATTTAAAATTATATTTCATATAATAAAATATATAATATTCAAAAAACAAAAAACATATAACACATTCATCCTATTCAAAATATAAAATTTCCAATCATGTAAAAATAATATTTCAAAAATACAATATTCAAAAATATATCCTAAACCAATCATATATTTCTCAAATAACAACAATATACAATTATATTTATCCATAATACATAATCAAATTAATAATTATATATTAAATATCATCAATTTATCAAATATAAATATTAAATAATATTTTATATAGTATATCAAAATGATTTTTTTTTTCATTTTTTGTTCCTTAAATCAATTTCAAATAATTTAATATATATATATATATTATTCAAATTTTATAATCATAATTTTCAATAACCAAATAATTATTCCCAAAACAACACCAAAATACATTTTTCCAATCCCAAACCACACCATTAAAATTATATTAATATCAATAAATCCCAAAAATATATTTGTATAAACATATTATATATATATATTTATAGATATTTATATACATATATATATATATATATTCAAATCCAAATTCGATTCATTTTAGAACTTGATTATTTATACATTTATAGATTTATTTAGCATTTTATTATTGCCTGCCACTTTGGGCACGTTGCGATCTTCCAGTCAACGCCTGCATGTTCAATGTGCGTGTGTGTGTGCATTGCGTCACATTCGACGGTTCTTAACATCAAGCGCAACTCTGCAGGAAGTCTGGCTCAGCGTTCCACACATGCTTTCCCATCTCCCCACCTGCAGCATACTCTCTGAACAAACGCCCAGCAGCTCTGGCTTGGCCTGGCCCGCCCTTTCGACTCACAAGTTGCTTGCAGGGGCACGGGATCAAACACATTCGGTTCCAAGGCTCCCCCAGTGGTTGAACTCGTGTATCCAAGCCATGTTTATGCTAGCGAGGCGAAAGGGGTTTACCATTTAGACTTTGTTTCCCTCTTTCCCTCTCTATCTTTTGCGTTCTGCCACATTGCGCAGCCATATCTTTCATGTTGCACACGTCATGGACTGTGCCCAAGCCACATCCAAAGCACACACGCAACTTGACGACTAGGAGCTTCTTGAAAAAGCATCACGGAAGTGTAAACCAAGCGACATGCTGCCGCACATAGCGACCATGCCTTGCATTCGGATGGGTTGCTGGACCACTGCAGAACTTTGTGTCATTCTCAACTACGCAGAATGACGGGTAGGCAACAAGTTCTTGGCTGGCTCCGCAGTCATGCTTTTGGGTAGATTCCGCTGCCGTGCTTTCGCAGGAATCAATGATTTCCAGGTTGGCTTCAAAGGAAACTACAAAACCACCAGTTTTATACCCATTTGAGCGTTGGTTTCTATTCCCCTTGAACTTTCTTGTTCAAGATTCCGTGGACCCTTCCGCGTCCTTTTCGCGGGGTTACAGGAATCTTTCCGCGAGCGTCCGCGGCACATGCTTTACAAGCTTTGTTTCTGCGAGTATTGGCGTAGAAAAGGCTGTTGGCAACCCGAACAGTTCATAGCAAACCAGAAAGCTTCCGTGAACATTCCCGCGCAAGAAATCGAATCCACAAGACCCTTCCGCACGCTGGCAAGGTGCACATTTCAAGAACCATGTTCTACTTTCAACTGGCGGGCAACAAAAAATACTGACTCTCGTTTGATCTTTCAGGCCACAGGAAGAGCTCTCACCGTTGGTGAAGTCGCGCGCCTCTTCTGTCGAGCAGGGCTGCGTCCATGCCTGCACTCACTGCGCAAGGTCAGACAAGAAACTGAGCCAAAAGTTTGGAAATATCTGGGGATATCCGCTGCATGTCAAGCATGTCAGTCCACGTTGCTAAAGAGTAATTTTCGTTGTTGTTTTTTCCATCTTCCAGTTGCGCATGGTTGCGCATGGTTCACGGCTTTAGAGCAGGCGGCAATTCCTTTCTGACCGCCAAGGGCTAACAAACCATTCGCTGGGTCTTTGAGCACAAAGCCCACTTGCTGCGACCAAAATGCCTTCCCAAACTTGAAAAGACTCATTCAAACAACGGGGAGTCGTTTGCATGTCCGACAAGGCTGGCTGCCTTGCAACTTGGGAATGTTTTTGCTTGAATTGGGCCAGTGTGATGCGATCCTGGCCCGAGCCGTTGTCTTTGAAACCGTCGAAGGAGGTTTCTGCACTGGAAACACGCTTGTCTTGTCAACACCCTGACTGGAAGGCGGCCAAACACGACCAACACAAATGCCGTGTTCCAAAAATCAGGCTCAGGAAGGTGCCTTGTGCAAAATATACAAGCTTCAGCCTGTGAAACCATTGATTGCATTGACTTTGAACAAGAAACAACATGGACGTCTCCTTCTTGTGTGTGTCCGGTTGCCCATCTTTTGTTCTCGGCCTAAGCAGTGACTTTGCAGAGCACGGTGACACTGAGCCAGAACGGGACTCGATCTCTTTGGATCCTGGCAGGACTGCAGAAAGCACAATGCGAAAATGAAGGTCTTGCGCGCCAGCTGGAACTCAACCAGATCGCTTCCTGGTGGAGAGTGTCTGGAGGACAGCCGTGGAAGTTCAAGGCCTGCCCAATGCAAGCAGTGAAGCCTCATAAGCCATGGCCGGCCATGGCCTTGAGAGGCCGGCGAGAACAAATGACCTGAACACATCGAAGCCCATGTCTTTCTGCGAGAATCGCTTGCTTGTGCCTTCTCGCTGCGAAGCGAGGCTTTGAGGCTCCTCAAACTGTAGGCCTGGCGCAAAAGGCGCTGGGAGGGGGTTTGCTTTTTTCCACAAGGAACACGGAAAGGCCATGCACCAAGGCCTTCTCGCAGAGACCCCTTGGCAGAAAGGCCTGAAAACATGGCCGCTTTGACAGCTCTACAACCAATTCAACATCTGGGGCCAGGACTTCCTTGGAAAGACTCACCAAATAGGCGTGGAAGGCCTGAATACATCGGCCTCTCCGTTACGTGTCAATACTTGGTCAAACTGCAGTCATACCGTTCCGATGGCAGATATACGGTTCACAGCGGAGGTCGCAAATCAACACCTCAGGCAAAGGCTTTCCTGCAAAGGCTCCCTGGAAGAAAGCTTTGGAGGGCCTCGATGTCGCTGGAATGCTTAAGGCTGGCTTGAAAGCTGACAAGCCCAGCAACTTTCAAGCCATCGCACTCAAGTCACGTTGTCTTGGTTGTCACTCCGATCTCCAGCAAGTCTTGGACCCAGGCCGCGATAGCGTAGCATGGAGTCCACAGGAGCTAGGCAAATCGAGGGCCTCAAACTGTGACATGCAAGCAACCATTCAGTGCTATGGGCAAGCAATGGGTCTGTCCCCTCTCTGAGGGCCATGCACCCAGCCATAGTGGTCGTCTGGAAGCCCAATCAATGCCTGCAGCGATGAAGCGCAACTTGTACACACCGTGACGGACTGATGGGGCGCGCCCAGGAGCTATCGTAGCTCGTCTCCAAGACGGTCATCTCCTCTGAAGGTGTGGATGGAATGGGGCTCTTGAGTTTGAGACGTCTGTATATTATAGTCGTCCTGAAGTCCCCACAAATGGTGGTTGTCCTTTCTTTGCCAGTAAACCAACCCAAACGGGCACCCGCAAACAATACAGGTATGTCGAGTCCTGCCTGCCCTGGCCGCAAGGACCTGACACAAGGCAATGCACGAGGCGTGCGAGACAAAATCCATTTGGGACGCGGAAAACTACAACTTTTGTGAGTCACCCTTTGGATCTGACACATCTTCCTGTAAAACCTGGCGCTTCTCACATCAAGGCCAATTGATGTTGCAAACAAGAAACAGTAATTCTTCACCCAGTAGGCGGGCATGAGGCGAGGTTTGAACATCTGATCATGTCTCGAGGCTTAAGAAATTGTGTAATGCATGCATGCATGTTCCGCTGTGGCATAAATTGTTTATAAGCTTGCTGACGAGTTCTAGGGCCCTTGACCTAGTCTGCCTACTCATCGCATGTCCCCTTCAGTAGCCCTTGGCTAACAAAAGACCTTCACTGCTTGAACTCCCATTTGAATAAGGCTCCCACACCGAGTAGGGGTCGATGCTGGAGCCTGCGAGCAAAAAAACAAGAAACCGGGACTTCAAGCCTCATGAGCCAAGTAGGAGTGAGCCATGGACGCATTGCCTCAAGCTGCACACCATGCTTTTGAAAACCCCAACGGCGCAGGCCAACCCAGCCGTGCCTCTGTACACATATCTGGCCACAGCTCTGCCTGGCAAAATTTGAAGCGATGGAATTTGTTTTTCAAATTCAGGAAGTCCCATAAAACACTGTCTTTCTTCCCTGTGGGTTGCCCTTAAACAAACCTGGAAAGCGTACCCTCAAACAAACACTGATATTTGGTTCCTTTTGTTTGTCCGCAAGTTGGACCGCTGAACATCGTCAAACAACAACTCGGCACATTCTCTCTAAGACATGCTGACCATGAGTTGTTGCAAGCTCGCAAAAACAATATTGGTACGTCAGTTGAGGGCACCCCTTTCGGAGTACTGCAGAAGGGAAACCGCCCAGTTTTGGCATTCCCTTACTTGAAGACAAATCCACATGTTCACGTGGAGGCTGAAACAAGTTTCTCACAAGCCAAGCAAAATCAGCGGCCCAGTTGCAGGGCAGCAGCGTTTCAGAGTCCATGGCAAAGTCAATTAGATCAGACTGCGTCACGCTTTGTCAGTCGTCCACACGCTGATCTGATATCCCATCCTTTGCGACTTACAGAAATTGTGGCACTTTGTCTCGAACAACAAGACAAGTCGATCAGCTCATGCCGTTATTCGCCATGCAATACTTCTTGAATAGTTGGCTGGGTGCTTGGACATGTGCTCAGAGTTGTGGCGTATCCACGTTCAATCTGAAGCACGGACGCAACTGGGAGGCTGAGTCAGTGTTTTCCAAGCTGTCTTTGCAGCTGCTAGAGCTGAACCAAGCGCGTGGTGTGCATCACAAGCGAACAATCCAACATCATGCAACATCTCTCTAGCCCCTCCGAGCATCGCTATTTTCTTTCTGTTCTTGCAAGCCACAAGCTCATGATCACTCGGCGTTTGCTTTGGCCGACTCCACAACCTTCCCGATGATGCGGTCGATCTTTGCATGCACACCTGGGAGGAATCATGATCTTAGCTCGCAGATGCTTGCTGGTCCGGGCTCGCTTGCAAAACAGATATGCCTCTTCTTGACGTTTTCAATAGCAATGCCAATTTGATGTTGCAACATTTACAGCTGCTACACTCGCAGGCAACTCTGATAGTGTCTCTGATCTTCTGCTCACACTTCCTGCCCACACCAAGCAGACTTCGACCTCGCGGTCAAGCGGCTCTCTGGCACGCGAAAGGTCCTCGGGCCGAGTCCAGGCAAATTGTTTTGATCAAACAACACCCTTGAGACAGTTTCCAGCAAGGAACCGGACATGTTGGACAATGAAAAACAACTAGCTCTCCAATTAAACCGCTTTATCATTCCGGAACCCGGAACTGCTTTCAACCTCACGCGGACGATCACTGTCCTGGAAATTCGTTTCACGGATGGCAAACACGACTTCAGGTTCGGGCAAGGGATCGCAACCAGCCAAAGGAAAACATCCATCGAGCAATCCCAATGCGGGCGCCACTCCACCGCGCGAGTCAATCACGGCTGAACAAAGCCACCGGCTGAGCTCGAAATGTCGAGTCAAGGCTCGTCAGGTATCTCAGCACCTTCAAGTCTTCGGGAATGCACTCCTTAGCTCTCGTCATATACAATTCTATGAACATGTGTCTACATGTTTTCACCTAGCAATCTTCACACTTGTCCATAGTTCGATCTATCTATTTACCTATCTATCTATGCACTTACTGCCCATGTGGCTGCAAAGCCAAAGCATGGGATTGGCAAGTCCCTAGTTGTTTAACTGGGGATGGACATTCTGCACATGAGTTGTCAAAATTACTTGCTGCTCCTCAAAGGGTCATGGACAAAGCGAGAGCCCTGGTTCTTGTGGGGAAACTGAGTGAGCCCCCCATGTCTCTCCCACACATTGACTGAACCTCACATCGGGAACTTTGTCCACCAGTTTGAGGGGTGCTCCGTCTCACTCTATTGGGGATCCCTGAAATGGCTGGCTTCATTTTGGCTTCCCTTTGAACCCATCCAACATGTCTTGAGACAAACTCATACTAAAACTCAGAATGCGGCGTTCGTTCGAGGTAAATTCTGCAAGACGCTTGCCGCCCTTGCAGGACAGCTTGCGCGCGCATCACGCGCAAAGCTTTCACCAGGAAGGTGCGGTCCTGAGCATGCTTTCGTGCCGAGAAAAACTCGAGAAGTCGTTTCAGCCCAGGAGGCCTGGAGGGAGGGGGAGCCCAAATTTCCCAATTTAGCTCTTACTAAACCCCCTCTTCCCCAGCCTCTGTGATCAAGTGTAGGTTTGAAGCAAACATCATTCCAAAAAGGACCATGCCACACAGAAACCAATATGCACAGGAGAACGGCAACTGCAAGCCCATACGCCACGTCTGAAACCACAGCGTGGTGCTGTGAGCAGCGAAGACTTCTGGCTCACCCCGTGCTTGGTAACCAGCTGCTTCAAGACTTCGAGCAGCAGCCTGCAATGTCGCGGTACAAATGCAACCAGCCACCAGCGACAGTTCAAAATCCAATGTGGGCTATTCGTGGGCTATGTCAACACCTCATGGTCTTGTTTTGCCCACCAACAAGGCAAAATAACAACAATCATATACATACCTTCGCGCCCTGTGCTGCCCTTCCTGTGCATCAGAATCAATACTCCAATAAACACATGACAACATACATGCCTGTATTCATAAGATGCACAACTTTGATTAGATAACAGCCCGACCAAACAAGTCAACTTTGATTCTACAACAGCCCGACCATTCAAAGTCTCCGCCCCCGCGCAAAGAACACAAACGGAAACAAACAAACAAACAAACAAACAAAAAAACGTGCGCCGCGGCCTCCTCACTCGCTCTGGCACCTCTGCCCGCGCGTGGGCTTCTGAGGCCGCGCGCAACTCTGCGGCGGCAGCCCCAGGGGACACCGGAGAAATGTTGCGCTCATCGGAGAAGAGGTCAATGATGCGAGCGGCCTGCAAAACAACTCGGTCTGGAATGAACCGGAAGGGGATTCCCGAACAAAGGAAGCCATCAGTTGGATGGTGTATAGGGGTCATTCCGCATTCCCTCATTCTCTACTGAGCACCAGCAAAACAACTGGTGGCTTTGTATTTGTTTTGGTAACATTCTTATGCGCGACGGTCTGGTGGCTCATGTGTGACGTTGTTCTTTTTGATTCACTTGCGACGGTTTTGCTTTTAGAACATGTGCGCCGTGCGCGCTCGCGGCTACGCGCGTCGCCTCACTCACTTGCGGCAACTGTTTTTCCGTCTGTGAGGATTCACAAGAGCCTCTCTTTTGTCGGGGTCGGGGGAAGGTTCGGGGCTGCGAAAGCGAAGCAGCTACATGACTACACCCACTCAACTGTGTCTCTGCATCACACACCACACTTAAGAAGGGAACACTGCGCTTTTCCTGAACAGCGACAATAGAAGTCTGGTCTGCCAGTGTCAGAACTTTTCCGCAAGCGAAGAAAACCGTCACAAGCGAGGTATTGTCTGCAAAATGGCCAGGGAAACATCACTCCACCTCAAAGGCAAACTCACAAATAGCTCCCGGCTGCGGCCCCCAATGTGATCATCCCAGGGCGCAAAGGCACACGGCCACAATCAGCTTCCCACTCATTTGTGGCGGTTTTAGCCCGGTGGTTTGGTGTTCCGGGAGTTTGCCAAAAACCCTCACGCAGTTCAAATCCAAATCCAAACCAATCCAAATCACCAAAAGATTAACTGATTAGTTCCAAACAAAAAGAGGGGAGGAAGCCTCTTGGTTCCAGCATGAACAACTAAATTCGCCACACAGCAGTGGGGAAGAGGAGGCCTGGGGGCTGGGAAATATATAAGGTTCTTGTATATACATAGATTGTGTATATTAAGGGAAGAACTCTGATGGTCCAAATTGCAGTCTCATTTCAGATCCAATTCCATCAGTTCCATCTCCAAACATTGCTGGTTATGGGTGAATACGCGCGACACACACGCACACACACTTGCACACATGCGACGAGCACGTGTGCATGCTCTTACCTTTTTCACGTGTGCACTCACGCAATGAGAACGGCACTTGGCTTTCTTGTGAATCCAACATGTCGAACGGTATCAGGTGGTGGCAACAGGTTTCAGTTTGAGCGTTGTAAGGATGTAGCCAAAGCACTGCTATGCGATGTCAACCTGTGCGCGAGCACAACCCCGTGTTCTTGCGTGTGTCTGATCGGCGCCGCAGCGAGTGAAACCATGAGAAGGCACTGATCAAGGCACTTTACGCCAAGCACAGAGTGTTGGAACATGCGGACAAACTAGGCTGACAGGTCGTGGTCACCTGGGGATTGATATTCTGAACTTGAGCCTGTATGCCCAATCACTGAGCCTGAAAATGGGCCTCTCCATACCTGAAACCCAAGGTGAGCAAAGGAATCATACCTTTTTGGGGTTGCTTTAAAGGGACACCAAAGGGAAACACACACATTTGGGGTGTTTTGCTTTGACGCATTCCATCTCCCCCCGCTTTGCTTTGGGCCTCATCCCAGCGCCCTGCCGACACCGCGCCATCAGTCTTGAGCTGCAGCACGAAGCGGTCGAGGCAGGCGGGGTCCAGGGGCTCGGTGTAGTAGCGGCTCCCTGGGAGTCGCGGCACAGGCCGATGGCTTGAACGAAAGTCAGATTATGAGCGGCTCCGCGGCCGTTCTTTTCTTTTGTTCTACTTCTTGCGGTTTGGCAGCGTGATTCAGAGCGAACAACCATTCAACCAGATTTCCGTTGCCGCTTTTCTAAGTCTGTTCCAATGTCCCCCCACTTGCCACCACGTTGAGATTATCTGGTTTGCGCTCTATCCGGGAAACATGGGAAACAGATCAGACCGTGTGAGGCTGGCCAACATCAAACGGGACCGCCTGGGCCAACATACCCAATTGGCGGCTTCTGGCTCATCTCTCAGGCTCCACAAGACGCAACTTCTTTTTCAAATCTGGAAGTCCATCTCAACTACACCAGGGTGAAAGTAGATGGTGTTCCCGGTCTGTAGGTGCAGGGTGTATTACCAAAGAACATGGGGAGCTTGTAGCCAGCTCCAAACTTCACATCCGTGCGCCTGGGTCTGAGGGGTTGGAGGTGGCGATGGCCGTCTTCAACGGCAGCTTCCAAACCTCCTGGCCCGTACTGGGACCGTTGTATTGCCTGCGCACATCGCACGCAACACGCAACGGCGTCTCTTCTGGCATGCATTCAGACGCAACATGGGCAGTCTCTTCCGATTTCGAAATCTCTTTTTTTTCAAGCATGGCTTTGCCATGTTCTGCAAAACACAGCGACGAAAGGCGTGGCATGGGTAGATCGGCTCAACATTCCAAATCGGTCCTTTCAGCCTTTCATGCTCAAGGTCAAGGCCTTCGATGGTTTCAGCTAGTGATGTGCCCATGTAGCACCAGTCCCACATCCCCGCCGGCCTCTCATTCAGCAGACGCAGCAGCACATTCAAAGCCTCACCTGTCGTGCAGCGGTGAGGGTGTCAAGGCAGCGATTTGGGAATGGCAGGTCACACTCCAGGGAGATGTTGATGAGGATGTAGTCGAAACAAGTTCGGGACAAACACATACTCTGGAATTGGAACAATCACGTAAAGAGCAATTTAAATTAAAAAAGCTGCCCCAGCAAAGCGTACTTTCAAGCACTATATAAGCAAGCAAGTACAACAGGCACACAGCTGCAAAAACACCACGCAGCAGACCAACGAAGGCACCAACATACAGGCATTTGTTAGTTGCCTTCCTGTTTGACTTGCTCGCAAGTCTGCCTTTTACCGCGCCTGCGCCTGTTAAATTGACTTGTTTGCCTTTGTCTCAAAAGTGGATAAACACTGTCAAACCTGGCAGGCTCATGACACAACCACAAAGGACACAAGTACTCGCCTTGCACACATAAGCGAGGCAACACAATTGGCAAACCATCTGCTTGATCGAATTCTTCGATCTTGGCTGGTGCAGATTTTTCCAGGGCATTGGCGGGATTAGAATGCTCGATAGTTCAATGGCTTTGGTCCCCGCTTTCCAGCAGCTCAGATTCAAGCAACTGCGCGACACCCAATGCAACTGCCCCAAGGCTATGCCAGCACTTCCCAGCCGAGACAAGCCTGGTGCTCGGGAGATGTCATCAAGCACACACAGCTCAGCGGTGAGAATTCCGCCTTGCGACGCCGACCCGTGCGCTGCAGGGATTGCAATAGGGCAAAGCCACAACCTCCCCGCTATTGAATCAGAAGTATATAGGCTGAAGTAGGCACAGAAAAAGCGTCAAGGACAAACTTCTGAGCCAAATTGGACAATGACTCCTTAAGGCCGGCAAGGGGAAAGCCAACATTCTCACATAGGCAGCGTGAATATGGCGTATGTCACCGGGTGAATGATGAGCGAGTGCCATGAATAGACCTGAGGCTTAGCACAAAATCGGACGATTCGCATGCTTGAAGCCCCATCCTGCTGGAAGTGCAAGCTTGGAGAGGAACTTCTTCGTGGAACGATGCCGACAATGTCAGACACACACAAGCCGCAGTGAACTAGCAACGCAGCAGCTGCCGATCCGACGAGGCCGCCTGGCCGCGTCAAACTCCGCACCAGCTCCCCTCCTTCTGGCGCTGGCTCCTTCAAGATCACCGCATCTCCTCAGGGACACGTCTGAACCCCCGAGGATCTGAACACCAGGTCCGGTGAACGCGCTTTGCCTGTGAACACGTTTTGCTGTTCCTGGTACTCATTGACTCATTGCCCAAATTCCCGCTCCGATGAGTTCGTGAAGCTTGGTATCCCGATGCATCTGGTAGAAGAAAAAGGACAAGCCAGTCGCCTGCCAGGGTTCTCCCTTTCGAACGACAGCCCTCACATGCTCTGGCAAACAGGCTGCTTTCATCGTTTCTTCCCGTAGTCTGAGATCCCTTGGCCGAAGCCACATAGATGTAGCAATTGATGTCTGTCGGGGGCCCAACGTTATAAACACAAATTGGCGCTCGCAGCTCGCGGCGAGCTCTTCTGCCTCCGCGGCCGTTTCGGCCAGCATGGTTTTGGCCACACCAGGCGGGCCCTGGCGCCAGTGGGCCAGCACCCCCGTTTCTGTCCTTCGTGGGCTTAGGATACTCAAGGCCTTGAGTCTTGCAGGCTCTAAACATGTGCAGGCGTTTGCATTGAAACTTCTCAAAAGAAAACCATTGCATCATGTTGAGAATCATTGGCATGGCCAGCAGCTGTCCAGGAGAATCGACACAAGCTGCTGCTAAGTGGGTCTTTGGGGCTTTGGGGCCGCGGGATACAAACGTGAGAGACGCGTTCTACGACGGCTGATGGCAGCTGTTCCACGTCAACCCTGAACATCCCTACACATCCTAGCCAACGTCTGGGGCGAGCCCCAGCAATGATGCGTCTAAACTCGTCACCTCTGTAGAAAGCGCAGCCACTTTCAAACCTATGCCGAAGCCGGACTGTTCGATGCCGCTTTCAAGGTTGGTTTCACGGGACACCAAAAAGGAACACTACCCATTCTGGAATCCGAATCCCTATGTTGACACATGGAATGCCGTTCCAAATGGTCGGACATAAAACAAAGTGTTATATTTTTTTTCTGATGTCTAGCAGGGGGTCCCTTAAAATTCACAGCCAATCCTTCACCAGATTCCCAATTGGTGGTTCGGATTGGTGGTTTGGTTGGGGACGGTTTCCCATTTACCCTCTCAACCGGGGCTTCAAATCCCCAGTACCAATCCGAATCAGCGCCTCAATGTAAAGATGCTCCTGGGCGACCAGTGCCAGGAGAATCGCTTCCTGCAAAACGCGCCCAGCCCCGGTGCCCCCAAATCAGGGTCTCCACAGCTGAGCGGGGTATGTGTCAAACTAGGGTGGACCCCTATTTGAAAAGCCATTTCCCTTTTGGTTTCCCCTCAAATCAACCCAACCAAATGCATAGCGGAAGTTCAGCCTACCCCCAATCGCTTTCTTGGCTCCTTGCCAGCATCGTGGCCAATGATTCGCTCATCCAGCACTCGCTGCACCTCAGGGCTTCCAAAAGAATTCCCTAGGAGTTGAATAGGTCGGGGGGCAAAACCGTTTGGTTTCCTTTAGGGGGAACAAATAATCACACAAGCCTTGCACCTGCGAAGGAGTTTGACCCTGATGCATCAAACAAATGCCAATACCACGAATGCTGCACAGGGCAACCATATCGTTCACGAAACATCACGCACATATTGACACAGCGACCTGATTTCCACACTACTCTTGGCAAAACACATCCATGGGCAGTTTCAACCGATGCCACACACACAAAGCCCGTGGCTATAAGTGCCTCGTCAGAGTACATGCTTGCCCATGGCTGCCGCCTCCCGTCCCCTTCAACCTCTGCTGGAAGACTAATAGTTGATGTCCATGCAACCTGGAGGCCACAACTCAGTGTTGCTTCACTATCCACGGGCTGCTAATCCAGCTTTTCGCAAACGTTCTATATGGGATTTGCTCTTGGCACATTTGGCAACGTGGCATACCGCCACAAATTCAACGGCGCCTAATGTCGGAAAGCGAATAGTCAATGACAAGTTGATTCAACCAAAATGTCCCACAATTTGTCCAGCCTGAAAAGGACGCAGAGGAGGAATTTCTGCTTTCCGGGAGAGAACATATGGCTGCCCGTCCGCGGATGATCAAAAAGGACGATTGCAAGGCCTGGCAATAGCAAGCTTATAGTAAACTAATACTAATCTATACTAAACAATACCAACGAATATACACCCCATACTAAGCCAATCTTGAGCCAGCAAAACCAACTGAGGCCAAACAGCCAACTTTTTTATGTCACCAAGTACTAAAACAGCCGCCCAAAGCTAATAATTGTAAATGTTAAAGGGGCGGAAATAGAGACGAGACGCATCTCTGGGCGATGGGTACCTAGGACAACTAAACAAATACTAAGCCAAATTCAAAGACTATTGCACCAGTAACAGGGAAATACCTAACCAACACTACACCAACTGTTAACAGTACTGGGCCAGCTCAAAATCAGTACTAAGAGGTACTTACTGAGAGACTAGTTGAGTAGGCGGTGTTTTTGGGTTTTCCTCTATTGATCCAAATTTGTTTGGAGGGGAGAAGGGTGGCCCTGTACCATTCACTACTCCACATTGGGAACCAGTTTCGCATCTCGTCCGAGGCCTGCAGGGTGCCAAAGTGTCGGCGCCATGGCCCCCACAAACGCCGGGCCAGGGCCATGCAAGCGATCGGAGGCGAAAAAGGCCCACTGTCTACTTCTTGGCCGGCCAACAGCTCATCTTAAGGTGGATCCGCGTTTGATGTCTTGTAAGGCCTGTAGCAGTGAAATTCTAGAAGGCTGTTGGCTCACATTGCTACCATGACGGTGCTATCTGCCACTGCTCGTGTGAGATGTGCGGTGTTTGATATCACTTCAAGCCGCCAGCACAATCCCATGCTGCAAAATCAGTACCATGCTCGTACCGTACTTGTGGGCGAGAGATCGGCCAGTTTGATCCCACGTAAGATGACAAGCACGGCTTTTGTTTTCCGCATTTGCGCGAGCTGCTGCAAGCTTGCTTAACATTGCATGAAGCAATCAAAGTTGGGAGCTTCCCCTGGACACGATCAAAGGCCATGTGAAGCGTTACCTGGTCCAGGCGTCTATGATCAAATCTATTGGCTTCGCCAAAGGACGCTGAGCAAAACATCAAACTCTTGCCACTTGCAATAATTCTTCCATTGACCATCTCCTCTCTGGGGGAGTCTCAAAATAGGGCACCCCCAACAATTTGTGTTGTCTTCTTTGGTTTCGCCGGTAAAACATCCCCCAACGTAAAAGGACACCCGCAGTTGATACCCCTCTTGCCAGCTCACCGCCTCCATCTGCCTCTTTGGGCGTACGAAGCCTGGCCGGCGGCATGCGCTTTCAAAATGGGGCTATACCTCTTGCAGACAAGTGCGAGTCACAGGGGGTTTCGCCCAACGGGACAGGCCAACACATTGAGAGGCTCTCATTGCCTCAAATCTGAAAGGTCAAGCCTCGCAAGCCCCTCACGACTTGAAGCTGAGGTGTCACATCAAAGAAGGAAGTCGGTCGACCCAAACACGTGGAATGTGTGTCTCCAATTGCAGAAGAGCCTCGGTAGCCAGCAAAGCATTTTGCGAACCATCAACAAAGAAACCAGTCGATACGACTAAGAAGAAACCAATCCAACCTAGACATATCCACATAATTCCGCCTTTCTTCCAAGGTCTTCAATATCAAGACGCGATCCACCCAACAGCATGAAACCTCTGCCTACGTCGCCTCCTCGGTCAAGGACTTATCTCCTTGCAGACATCCGTTGCAAACAGCGCCGAAGCTGTATTCCAACTTCTTGGCCTACTGTATGCACTGATCTCTGGATCAAACTGCCAGGAACTACTTAAAAGATCCCACCCACTATAGTGTAAACACTTGTGATAAACATGTTTAGATCACAAGGTGCTGGAACATCCTTTGCGAATCTATCTGTGAAGCAGCTTCCATGTCTTACACATTTTGCAGCGAGAGCGACAGGTCGAAAACAACTATGTACCACAGCACCAATTCAATGAACGTCTCTGAGGAATCCCAACATGTTTCTTTTGTTTTTGTTCTGGCCAGACCGGCAGAAACAACAGAACCTCTGGGAGTCTTTTCTTTTCGACACCAGCCATATCAGGCAGCATCTGGGCGACATGTCTGAAATAATGTGTGTATAAGGGGCCAACAATTAGAATGGGGGTTGGGGATGGCCAAAAAACTAAACTATATAAGTCATGACCATGGGGAAACGCATGTTTGTAGTTTGTCGGCCTTTGCATTGACTGTTGACCCTTGTGCACTCTGTGGCTGGCAAACGACAATCGCTCCTCGCTTCGTGTGCTTCGCGAAGACATCCTGTTCCGTGCCAGGCAAGAAGTGAATCGAGTAAGCTACGATGGACATACTCTCTGTTCCAAACATTGAACGAGAATTTGCGAGTCCAATCTACATCCCGAGCTGGCCAAGCAAGTTTTTGCATTAATGATATTCTTCGGTCTCGTCAATTCAAAGAGTGGCCTGAGTGAACCGGAGCATTGCTGGACTGACTTCTGCTTCTCGGTTTGGCATTGCAACCATAGCTCTCTCACACACACTCACCTTATTTTCTCCATTTCTTACCCGCTCTTCCATCCAATCTTCTTCATATGAGAGCGGGTAAGAGAGATGGCTATCCCTCACCATTCCCTTTTTCTTCTACGAGTTCCTCATCTCGGACGTAACAACATCACATAGAAAGAAGATAGATAGTGATGGATAGACAGGTGAACGAGATGCTCACTCTCTGGTCTTCCCGTCAATCATGTTTCCTAGCAGGTTAATTCCTGCAAATCCACCACCGGTCAACTCTTGATCCCTCATCACCTTCTCCCATCTCATTCTACCATCACTTGAGCAGAAGACAAAACATGAAAGACACAGAAAGAGATCCACAGACAGATTGACATTCCACTTGATTCTTGTTTGCTTTTTGCATATTGTTCTCCTTGCATTTTCTATCTTTGTGTATGTTGTTGTGTCTTCTCTTTCTCTCTCTTTCATCTCTGCAACACACCATGATTTCGAAGATGGCAGCGGTTGAACAAGACAATAACTATATTTATACAGACATCACATAAATGTCTAAGTAATAAACACATACAACGTACGCCGAATTTTTAAGCTTGTCAATTCTTGGCCTATGCACAGCATAGCTGCAGAACCATAGGCAGCTCGTTTGGGGGTCTTGAGTAAGACTGTCACCCCATTTACTCTGACAATGCATGGATTTGGGACTCTAGAAGGTTGAAGGCGGGTGTTGGCGAGACATCTTTCATCTTTGCCCGGGGGTCTGGTCTTCTCAAAATAGCGGTCCCCTAAAATGGCTGATTTCCTTTGGTATCCCTTCGCGGGGTTCCCCCTTTTGAGAAACATAAATATGACGTGTTCTGGAATCAACCCCACATGTGAAACAAAGCGTCCACCGAAAAATGAAACATGGACGCAGGAAAAAAAAATGATTGCAAGTCTTAGACGCAGCTCGTGTACTGGTGGAAGGTTGCACGTTTTCGATACACATGCTCCGAAACATGCGTGCGAAGCATAAACCCTCGGCGCGCTCCTCCTCCTCCTCCTTCTCCTCCTAGTCCTACTTCTGCTACTACTACTGCTGATGCTGCTGCTACTACTACGACTAGTACTACTACTACTTCTACTACCACTAATTACTACTAGTACTAGTACTAGTACTAGTAATGGGTACAAGTCTTCCTTTGAGGGGTTTGTCAGGGTGTCACCACTTGAACAAAAGCCTGAGACCGCGCCGAGCTCTGGGCCGGGCCGACCAAAGCCCCAGCTCTCCTGCCTCATCATCGTCCCCAAATAGCGGGGGTGGCGGCGGAGCTGCCTTTGCCTTTGGAATGAGCTCTGCCGGGCTGAAGAGACTCGGCTCGGCGTGGTCACTGGGCCCTGGCAAAATCCAAGTGCTCTGATAGTCTCAACTCCGCGCATTGTCTGAGCCCCGGCTCGGTATCATGCAGCGGCGTGGCTCATAGCGTTGACGCACTCAAGCAGCAAAGCAAGGCATGTTTGGAGTCAATCAGTGTTCAAATCAGAAGCAACGCGGGTGAATATCACGCAGGCACGTAACCTGTACAAAACAACTGAAGAAGGTGGTACCCGATGATCGATGCCAACCAGGCTGGTCGTCCCAATTGCAAAATGGTCCCGGGCAGGGATACCCAGAACATTACTAACGCCAAACCAAAGGTCTCAACAACAACATAATGCGGACGCTGGGGCATGCGCACACGCTGAGATGCAACTTGCTCTCTGTCACATCAACACATCAACCCAAGTATCGGTTTCACATCAGCCCTTGTGAATCTGAGATCAGCCAGTCATTTTCACTGGCTCTGTGTCCCTTTAGTCACCGCAGAGAAAGACAAGAAACAACACATATGAATGCTGAACCATGGAAAGCGATAGCAATACCCGTTTGGCAAGCATGCAAATGAACACGGTGGTCAAGTGATCGCAAAGTGCAAGTCTAAATAGACTAGCATGACTCAAAGCTTTGTTCAACAGCACCAAGACCCCAGTGCTAAGCAGTCGGACTAGCAATCAAACAACAAATATGGGTTTGCTCAGAAAATGAGAGATTAACTTGAGCTAGAGATCCCGCTACAGGCCCATAAGCCTTTGTTCATCGCGGGGCAAAGGCGCTTTGTTTGCCTTTCTTGATCTTTCTCTTTGTTGCTAAAAGGGGAGGACCCCGTTTTCCTAATCGTTACTTTGTAGCGGGACAAGCCTGCAATAAGGGAAGCCTCCCCCAGCTCTTGTGATTTTACTTGGCTCCCGCCAGTTTCTCGGCTCTCCCTGTTCTTTTGGACGCAGGTAGGTCGAGAGTCAAAGAAATACTCACTTCCTGTGGATTGGCCAGAAAAGTCTTAACTTTTTCTGTACCACCAAAAAATGGTCCAAGAACAAAAAGCGTCAGAACTAAGGGAGTGAGTAAAAAGAGGAGAATCGGGACCCACCCTCCCGCCCCCCCAAAGAAGTCCATGGTATTCCCACCCTCCTTTGGAACCCTCCTAAGATCGCGCCCGGCCTTCCAGGAAGTCTGGCGCGAAGGGGTCTTCCGTCACTTCCGGGGAGGGCGCCAAGGAGGAGGGCGAAGGCGCTGTGCGCTCCGAGGGGGGCAGCGGGGCAGGCTTCAACCGGGCGCCCCGCGCGTGGAAGCGGAACCAGTAGGCCTGGCTGTTGGGATCCCCTTCAGACGAATCTGACAAGGTTACCCTCAATAACACTAACAAAATACAAGCAAACAACAAAAACACAAACAAACAAGCAAGCAACCAAACAAGCAAAACACACAAACACACAAACACACAAACACACACAAACACACAAACACAAACAAACAAACAAACAAACAAACAAACAAACAAACACACACACACACACACACACACAAAAACACACACACACACACACACACACACACACACACACAAAAACACACACACACACACACAAAACACACACACAAACACAAACAAACAAACAAACAAACAAACAAACACACACACACACACACACACACACACAAAAACACACACAAAAACACACACAAAAACACACACAAAAACACACACAAAAACACACACAAAACACACACAAAAACACACACACAAAAACACACACAAAAACACACACACAAAAACACACACACACACCACACACACACACACACGCACGCACCCACCCACCCACCCACCCACACACACACACAAACAAACACAAACAAACACAAACAAACAAACAAAAACAAACAATCACAAACAAACACAAACAAACACAAACAAACATAAACACAAACAAACACACACACCCACACACACACAAAAACACAAACACAAACGCAAACACAAACACAAACACAAACACACACACAAACACACAAACACACGAACACAAACACAAACACACACACACACACACACTCACGCACGCACGCACGCACGCACCCACACACACGCACTTAGAGTCCCGAGGGAGGAACCCATCAAAATCG